TGGCACAAGTCAAACCTTGTCAGTTATTCCCAAGGTAAAGGCTTCACATCTGATAAATGATTATTAAATTTAGATTTCTTTGGTAAGAGCCTATAGCAAGTGCCTTAGCACTGTAAGCCTTTGACACTCACTGCTGATTGGTGGAGATATTGGCTCTGAAGAGAGATGGAAATTTGCAGGAGAATAGTGACTACTGTACCAGAGCAATATTTATATGTATTCGTGTTTCCAGTGATTAAGTAGCCCTAGGGAAATAACTGTCACTGCAGAATGCGAAGATTTGTCAGGTATTCAAGGATAGCCAGATGTAAGTTTTTCAAAAGGCTCTGAAAGCTTTACTGAAACTACTTAAAAGATCAGACAATTTTTGTACAAAGAAAGTAATGTAGTTGACATTGGACAATTCCTAATAAATTATTTTTGTCTCATAAGAAATTACATGTCAATAGCTGCCAAGCAAGGCATTTGATAATAAAGCATGTATTATACAGTAGCAATTGATTTTTTTTCACTTTTCTTTTTGAGACAAAGAGCAGCTCTATAATTGTAAAAACATCTGTTAAACCTTTAACACAGTAAAGAACAAGCTGATGTAATTCCAAAAGATTATTATAATTAACATAGCCTGATTTGTCAGGTATTTTCTGTCCCTGCTATGTTTCCAGTGTTACCTCCTAGATTATCAGGCACCTACAAACCTGTGTGTTTGATTGCTGTTTAAAGAATACATTCCAGCTGGGGTGTTAAGGAACCCAAGGGATTTGGCATCCAACTCCCATGTAATTTCAAGGTGTGACTAACTCAAATAGCTTCCTTTGAAATCCCCACCTTCTCTCTCCTAACACCCCACAAAACGTTCAGATGAAAACCCCATTTCTACACACTGATGATATCACAGATACACTCTTCAACTGAAATTCACTGCTGCGCAGAGACACAAGACAACATATGTGTATCACTTAAGTCCCTCTTAAGACCTATAGTGATGCCTGAAGTGGAACTTAAGTGGTACATAAGCCTCTACACAGGATTGAATTTCACCCACAGTTGGAGAGAATAAGTCAATAGAACTTGCCAAAAAAAAAAAAGGCTATATGAAGCTCAAAATCTGGCTCAAACTCTGAACCTTATTTATTATTATTTAGGGCTGTCAAGCAATTTAAAAAAAATTATCACGATTAATCGCGCTGTTAAACAATAATAGAATACCATTTATTTAAATATTTTTGGATGTTTTCTTCATTTTCAAATTATTGATTTCAATTACAACACAGAATACAAAGTATACAGTGCTCACTTTATATTTATTTTTATTACAAATATTTTGCACTGTAAAAAACAAAAGAAATAGTATTTTCAGTTCACTTAATGCAAATACTGTAGTGCAATCTCTTTATCATGAAAGTTGCACTTACAAATGTAGAATTATGAAAAAAAACCTGCATTCAAAAATAAAACAATGTAAAACTTTAGAGCCTACAAGTCCACTCAGTCCTACTTCTTGTTCAGCCAATCTCAAAGAGAATCAAGTTTGTTTACATTTGCAGGAGATAATGCTGCCCGCTTCTTGTTTACAATGTCACCTGAAAGTGAGAGCAGATGTTTTCATGGCATTGTTGTAGCCAGCGTCGCAAGATATTTACATGCCAGATGTGCTAAATATTCATATGTCCCTTCATGCTTCAGCCAGCATTCCAGAGGACATGCATCCATGAAGATGACTGGTTTTGCTCGATAACAATCCAAACCAGTGTGGACCGACACATGTTCATTTTCATCATCTGAGCCAGATGCCACCAATAGAAGGTTGATTTTCTTTTCTGGTGTTTCTGGTTCTGTAGTTTCTGCATCAGAGTGTTGCTCTTTTAAGACTTCAGAAAGCATGCGCCACACCTCATCCCTCTCAGATTTTGGAAGGCACTTCAGATTCTTAAACCTTGGGTCTAGTGCTGTAGCTATCCTTGTGTTTTGTCAAATCTGCAGTGAAAGTATTCTTAAATCAAACAACATATGCTGGGTCATCATCCGAGACTACCGTAACACAAAATATATGGCAGAATGCGGGGAAAACCATGGAGCAGGAGACATAGAATTCTCCACCAAGGAGTTCAGTCACAAATTTAATTAAAGCATTTTTTCTTTTAACAAGCATCATCAGCATGGAAGCATGTCCTCTGGAATGGTGGTCAAAGCATGAAGAGGCATATGAATGTTTAGCATATCTGGCACGTAAATACCTTGTAATGACGGCTACAAAAGTGCCATGTGAACGCCTGTTTTCACTTACTGGTGACATTGTAAATAAGAAGCGGGCAGCATTATCTCCTGTAAATGTAAACAAGCTTGTTTCTCTTAGTGATTGGCTGAACAAGAAATAGGACTGAGTGGACTTGTAGGCTCTAAAGTTTTACATTGTTTTGTTATGGGTGTAGTTATGTAACAAAAAAAAATCTACATTTATAAGTTGCACTTTCACAATAAAGAGATTGCACTACAGTATTTGTATGAGGTGAACTGAAAAATATTATTTCTTTTGTTTGTCATTTTTACAGTGTAAATATCTGTAATCAAAAATAATATAAAGTGAGCACTGTACATTTTGTATTCTGTGTTGTAATTCAAATCAATATAATTGAAAATGTAGAAAAACATGCAAAAATATGTAACAAATTTCAATTGGTATTCTATCGTTTAACAGTGCGATTAAAACTGCGACTAATCACTATTAATTTTTTTATCACAATTTTTTTTTAATTTAATCATGTGAGTTAACTGTGATTAATCGACAGCCCTATTATTATTATTATATTTGTTTGTGTTTCAGTAGTGCATAAGGGGCCCCAATCAGGGAGCAGTGCCTCATTGTGGTAGGCATAATAGCTGCATAATAAAAGGTAGTCCCTGCCCCAGAGAATTCAGAGTTTAGGCACAGGATGAGAGACCACAGACAAGAAGAGCATCTTGCAGCATGTGTCCTTTTAAACAGTGGGAGACATACTAATTTAAGGAAACAACGGCAGACTTACTAATTTAAGGTATGATTTCATCAGTTTTGATTACTCCAGGTCACTTCTTGGATTGGAAATCTATAGGGAAAGGCCAAGTGCTACAGAAAGTAGTGTTAATGATTCAGTAGGTGGTATTCTACTTTCTTAGTGCCTGATCCTGAGATGTGCTGAGCAACTACAACTCCAGACTTCACTGGAAATTGAAGATGTTCAGTACTTCTTAGGATGAGGCCCTGAGTAGAGAGGCAATGTTGAAGATGCTGTGATTTGATTGATATGTAAAACTGCAATCCTGATCCCACAGTACTTTTTGTAAGAGAAGTAAATTCCTGTTTAGATTATGACGTATTGTCTATTTAACTTCTCCAAGAATGTTAAATTAGTTATGCTCAACTACTGTTATACAGTTTAGCTGTGTAGTGTTAAATAGTTGTTGTGTTCTACCGCAGAAGTGGGAAAAGCAATTAATATATATTACAGATGAACTGGAGCCAAAACGCCAACATGGAATATGAACTTTCTCAGATTTCAGAGGGCTCAGGGTCTAGAATAAAATCCCTGCTAGTTAATCTCTCCTCACACATTTGGTCCTTTCTCATTTAGGTTTGGGTATAGCTGCAATCTTATGATTAGTCTCATGAGATTTCCTCTATTTTGGACAGAAATATAGACAGATTCCTTCAAGAATACTCATGAGAGTTCAGCACCATTGAATCCAAATCTTACTCTAGTTCTGATTTAGCTTTGAACTTGAACCCCAAACCCTCGCCTTAACCTAATACAAACTCAAGCTCCACCATCTTAGGCAATCTTTAAGGTGTAATAAACTTAATAAAATTCCCCTAGGATCTGTGTATGGAGAGTGGAATCCTGGCCCCATTGAAGTCAGCCAGAGTTTTGTCATTGACTTCAGTAGGACCAGGGTTTCAACCCTAGGCTTTTATACACCAGGCCCATTACCATAATATCTGAGTTCTTTGTATGAAAGATACTATGTATATACTTTCAAAATCATTATGATTATTCTATGTATCTATCCTAGCTGTAGTACCTGAGCTCCTGATAAATATTTTAATGTATTCAACCCCACAACTACCCGTGAGGTAGTGAAGTGCTATTATCGCCATTTTACATAAGAAGAATTGAGACAGGGTCTAAATTATTTGCCCAAACTCACGGGCAAAGGAGGAAATTGAACGTGGGTCTTCCTGGTCCCAGGCTAATGCCCTAACCACTAGTCAACATTCTCCATACATTAAAGAGGACACATTCAAGAGGAACAGTGTTGGTATGATAATGCCTGACCATGCACAGATGATTGGGTGTTTAAAGAATGTGCATAATACACAGTCAGCCAGATCCTCAGCTATGCCAAGTTGAGACACAGTATATCTGATGGAAAGCTGTCTCTGAGCCACCTTTTATGCTCCCCTGATTCTAGGCTGACAACCTCTGGCATAACTTAGAACCAGGGGCAGCTCCAGGCACCAGCGCACCAAGCATGTGCCTGGGGTGGCAAGCTGCGGGGGGTGGCCTGCCGGTCGCTGTGAGGGCGGCAGTCAGGGAGCCTTCGGCGGCATGCGGGAGGTCCATCGGTCCCATGGCTTCGGGAGCAATTCGGCCGCGGGTACGCTGAAGCCGCGGGACCGGCGAACATCCCACAGGCGCGCCACCAAAAGCCGCCTGATTGCCGTGCTTGGGGCGGCAACATACATAGAGCCGCCCCTGCTTAGAACAGCTCAAGTGGGAGCTGCTCTTAGTTACGCTGGCTGCTGTGGTCCCATAGGAGCCACTACAGCATCTGAGGATCAGGTGGAGTGTATGGCTCTCTGCTCCACCCCCTTCTACTCTGGAAGACCTTAGCTGCCACTTCAATGCAAAGGAGCTGGAGCTGTGGCTATGAATCTTGGTCTGTATGTTGTACACATATGAGTTTTTATATAACAAATGTGAAAGATTGTTATAAAACCAAACTGTGTGTTTCCTTTTCAGAGGATCAAATTCCTCGTGGTTTTCCCACCATTGATATGGGTCCCCAGTT